CAGGACCTCATGGCCTGCCCACCAGGACCTCATGGCCTGCCCACCAGGACCTCATGGCCTGCCCATCAGGACCTCATGGCCTGGCCTGCCCACCAGGATCTCATGGCCTGCCCACCAGGACCTCATGGCCTGCCCACCAGGACCTCATGGCCTGCCCACCAGGACCTCATGGCCTGCCCACCAGGACCTCATGGCCTGCCTACCAGGACCTCATGGCCTGCCCACCAGGACCTCATGGCCTGCCAAACAGGACCTCATGGCCTGCCCACCAGGACCTCATGGCCTGCCCACCAGGACCTCATGGCCTGCCCACCAGGACCTCATGGCCTGCCCACCAGGACCTCATGGCCTGCCCACCAGGACCTCATGGCCTGCCCACCAGGACCTCATGGCCTGCCCACCAGGACCTCATGGCCTGCCCATCAGGACCTCATGGCCTGCCCATCAGGACCTCATGGCCTGCCCCCAGGACCTCATGGCCTGCCAAACAGGACCTCATGGCCTGCCCACCAGGACCTCATGGCCTGTCCACCAGGACCTCATGGCCTGCCCACCAGGACCTCATGGCCTGCCCACCAGGACCTCATGGCCTGCCCACCAGGACCTCATGGTCTGCCAAACAGGATCTCATGGCCTGCCCACCAGGACCTCATGGCCTGCCCACCAGGACCTCATGGCCTGCCCACCAGGACCTCATGGCCTGCCCACCAGGACCTCATGGCCTGCCCACCAGGACCTCATGGCCTGCCAAACAGGACCTCATGGCCTGTCCACCAGGACCTCATGGCCTGCCCACCAGGACCTCATGGCCTGCCCACCAGGACCTCATGGCCTGCCCACCAGGACCTCATGGCCTGCCCACCAGGACCTCATGGCCTGCCCACCAGGACCTCATGGCCTGCCCACCAGGACCTCATGGCCTGCCCACCAGGACCTCATGGCCTGCCCACCAGGACCTCATGGCCTGCCCACCAGGACCTCATGGCCTGCCCACCAGGACCTCATGGCCTGCCCACCAGGACCTCATGGCCTGCCCACCAGGACCTCATGGCCTGCCCACCAGGACCTCATGGCCTGCCCACCAGGACCTCATGGCCTGCCCATCAGGACCTCATGGCCTGCCCACCAGGACCTCATGGCCTGCCCACCAGGACCTCATGGCCTGCCCATCAGGACCTCATGGCCTGCACATAGAGGTACCACAGCTTGCCCATAGAGGCTTCATAGCCTGCCCACCGAGGCATCAGCCTGCCCATCGAGGCATCATAGCCTGCCCACCGAGGCATCATAGCCTGCCCACGGGGGCATCAAGCTGCCCACAGGGGGGCTGGAACAGAGTAATGCTTGGAATGAGTGATGCTGGAAAAAGCAGTGATGCCAGGATAGAGTGAGGAATGAAAGTGTTACGGAGAGATGCGGAGTGTAACGTTAAAGAGCCTCCAGGCAGGAAAGTGCGCGCTGAGCGGGTGTGGGCACCTTGACGGAATGAACTGAGTCAGGTGAAGAGAAGAGATACAAGTGCAGGCGATGAGTCACAATAACGTGGCTGAAGTAAGTTGAGTTGATCTCAACTTGAATCGACTTGAGAATGGTCCAGGACGGACCGAAACGTCGTCGTCCCTTCAATTTCTAGTGTGTGGTCTGGTCAAAGAGATACAAGTACAAGTACATAGAATACAAGTACAAGCTATTAAATTCAGTTGCCGTTTCTAAATCAGTTGCAGGTGTATAGCCATCCTTTAAGAGTTTTATCTGGTTATATGAGTGTTTTTTAGTTCCTAGGATGTTAGAGATGGCTCTCCATGTGCTTTTCATATTACCTTTTGCTTCTTTGAATCTTTCATAATAGGAAAGTTTTGCCTTTCTTATTATATTGGTAAGCATTGATGAGTACCTCTTAACTACTTCCTTTGTAAGTAGGCTAATTCTAATTCTTTTTTCATATTCATGTTTTTTGTCGATTGCTTTGAATATGCCACTTGTGAGCCAGGGATTGTTTATTCTTTTCTCAGTTACTTGCTTGGTGAGGAGGGGACAATGAGTGTTGTAGAGGCTTAGAGTTTTGGAAAGGAAGAGGTTGGCTAATGAATTTATTTCTGTGAATTATTGAATTCAGATTCCCAGTTAATATTATGAAGTGTGTCTGTGAGGTTGTCTATTGCTGCTTCACTGTGTAACCTAAAGGTAGGTTTCTTGTTTTCTGGTGATGTTATGTCCATGTTTGCTATGAGGAAGGTAGGATAGTGGTCCGTTGTTCTGTCAATGATTATAATAGATGCAAAGAAAGCTGTTATGTTAGTCCATACGTGATCCAAGGTAGTAGTGGATGTTTGAGTGATTCGGGTGGGCTTGGTGATTGTAGGGATTAGCATACAGGAGTTCATGCTGTTTAGGAAATAGTCGACATGGGGGTTGTTTTGTTAACATAGGTCAATATTGAAGTCTCCTCCTAGAATGATGTGATTTTTGTTGAAATTGTTGTTTATGATAAGATTTTTTAGGTTATCTGAGAATGAAGCTATGTTAGTATTGAGAAATCTATAAATAGCTCCAATAGTCAAGGAGGATTTAAGGGATTTATTCGAGAACTTACCAAAGGTATATTCACAGTAGTCGTCTCTATCTCTAATGACACTATTGCAGATGAAGGTATCTTGGTAATATAAAGCTGTGCCACCTCCTTTTTTTATCAGGCCTACAGTTGTGAATGGCTTTTAACCAGCTAAGTTGTAGAGTTGGGTATAGTCTTTACTTAGTCAGGTTTCTGTTAAAATAATGAATGATAGTTTAGTACGCAGTGCTGTGAGTAGTGCATTTATATCATCAAAATGTTTACCAAATGATCTGATATTTTGGTTGAAAACTGCTAAGTGTTATTTTTGGAGTTTGTACAGTGTACAGAACACTCTACACCTGGTCGTATGAAGCGGCGGCTGCAGGCGCCACTGTGAATGATATGACGAAGGGACCGGTGATATTTGTAATGTTTTATCTAGCATCTATAACTGTTCTATTTTTCTCGTTCTCCATTCCTCGCCCGGACTGGTATTCACCTAGTTGTATTCACCTAGTTATGTTTGCGGGGGGGGGGGGGGGGGGGTTGAGCCTTGCTCTTTCGGCCCGCCTCTCAACTGTCAATCAACTGTTTACTGTTGGTGTTTCAACTGTTCACAATCAACTGTTTACAATCAACTGTTGGAGCCTCGCCATTCACGACGGTGAGAAATGGGTGAACAGTGATATGCTGTATTTATGAGGGTATATTTTCAACGTTTATATTTTGGTGTTTTTTTGCATGTGTGTTTGTTTACATAAATCATGTTAATATACTTGTCATGTCACTTATTGAGTGTACAGTATTTGCAAACATAAAACTATAAACACCACACACACACACGTACACACACGAACACTTATGAGGTGTGACACACCATCATCATGGGTTCAGGGATGGCAAATCTTGCCTCATAATTTTGATAGAATTCTACAACCAGGTGACAGATATTAAGCAAGAAAGAGAAAGTTAGTGCATTTTCTTGGACTGTCGGAAAGCCTTTGACAGTATCCAATAAGAGGCTGGTGCATAAGTTGGAGAAACAGGCAGGAGTAACTGGTAGGGTGCTCCGGTGGATCATGGAGTACATAAGCAATAGGAAGCAGAGAGTTATTGTGAGGGGTTTGACCTCAGAATGACGTGAAGTCAACCGCGGAGTCCCACGGGGCTCTGTACTAGGACCTATCGTGTTTCTGTTATACGTAAATGATCTCCTAGAGGGTATAGACTCATTCCTTTCAATGTTTGCTGACGACGCCAAAATTATGAGAATGATTAAGACAAAGGAGGACAGCATGAGGCTTCAAGATGACATGGACAAACTGAAATAATGGTCCAACAGATGCTTATTAGAGTTTAACCCAAGCAAACGTAAAATAATGAAGATAGGTGTAGGGAGCAGGAGGTCAGATACAAGGTACCATTTGGGAGATGAAATTCTTCAAGAATCAGAAAGAGAGAAAGACCTGGGGGTTGATATCACGCCAGACGTGTCCCCCGAAGCCCATATCAAGAGGATAACATCAGCGGCATATGCCAGGTTGGCCAACATACGAACGGCCTTTAAAAACTTGTGTAAGGTATCATTCAGAACCTGTATACCACATATGTCAGACCAAACCTGGAATATGCAGTTCCAGCATAGAGTTCGTATCTCGTCAAGCTCAAGACTAAATTAGAAGGTTCAGAGGTATGCCACAAGACTAGTACCCGAGCTGAGGGGCATGAGCTATGAGGAGAGATTACGGGAACTAAACTAGAGTCGGTTATCTTGAGGTTATCTTGAGATGATTTCGGGGCTTTAGTGTCCCCGCGGCCCGGTCCTCGACCAGGCCTCCACCCCCAGGAAGCAGCCCGTGACAGCTGACTAACACCCAGGTACCTATTTTACTGCTAGGTAACAGGGGCATAGGGTGAAAAAAACTCTGCCCATTGTTTCTCGCCGGCGCCTGGGATCGAACCCAGGACCACAGGATCACAAGTCCAGCGTGCTGTCCGCTCGGCCGACCGGCTCCGGTTGAAGACAGAAGAGTTAGGGAAGACATGATCACCACATAGTAAATTTTTAGAGGAATTAATAGGGGTAGATGAAAACAGTTTATTTAATACAGGGGGGCACACAGGTAGAAATTGAGTACCCAAATGACCCATAGAGACATTAGATATAACTTTTTTCAATGCCAGAGTAGTGAGTAGTTAAAACATGGAATGCATTAGAGTGAGGTGGTGGAGGTTGACTCCATACAGTTTCAAATATTGGTTTGGTATAGACCAGTAGGCTCAGGAATCTGTAAACCAGTTGACCGAGAGTTGAAAGGCGGGATTAAAGAGCCAGAGCTCAAGTACAACTAGGTGAGTACACATACAGACATACACACACACACACGCACGAGCGTAGAGAGTCATACAGTGTGATATATAACAGCTGTTGTGTGTGTGTGTGCAGGACAGGAGATGGTGTTGGAGCAGAAGGATGATGGACGCAGCCTCCACCCCCGCCCCGCCCTCCCCCCCACCCTCGCCGACACCCTCCTCGTCAGATGATGCTCCGCACATCTCACACACGCCATCCGCAGCCTCCCTAGTCTCATCCTCGCCCGCACCCTCCACCTCCTCTCGGTGTAAGTCTTCGTCAGCGTCGTGTCCTGGAGCCTGCCCCTCCTATGAACCCGCCTCATCAACCAGCAACCCACCACAGGCGGGTGAATCAACAGCTGGGTGCAGCAGCTGCGAGGTCACTTCCGCCTCACTACAAGACACTGTCTCCTCCAGACACAGAGTCGAGTCCCAGATTACGCTCGACCCTCCATCTTCCTCACTCCACTTCTCGCCTGAGGTCTCCAGCTCTAACTTAGGGTTGGATGAGACTTACCTCGGCGATGTGGCTCACTCCTGCACGCCAGGAGCCAGCGGCTCCGCCTCGCCGCGGGCTCCTGACTCCTCTGAAGCGGCCAGCGGCTCCCACTTCCGCTCCTCGTGGCAACCCCGAAGTTCTTGCCCTAATCTAGCCGTGGCGTCTTCCAGCGGCTGGCCGCAGGAGTGCCTGAGACCCACCAGCGAGAGCCTGGTCTCCCGCTCCACCTGGCTGACCTCGCCCGGCGCAGGCACGCCCTCCTCATGGCACTCCGGGGCATACTGGGGCACTCTGGAGGCCTCCGACGTCAGCTCCACGGAGCCTCCTGACTCCACCAAGTCCAACATGGGGGCGTGTCAGGCGGGGTGGCAGCGGGACTACCCCGGCGCGGTGTCGCACGAACTTACCTCATCAACAGCTGTGTCACGTGACACCGTCAATTCCACAGTGGAGGAAGGCGCGGCGTCGTCGTCGTGGTGCCAGGAGGAGGAGGAGGGTGCCACGGGTGCAGCTGCCGCCTGGGAGTGTGACTCTCTCAGCTGTGAAGTAGGAGCCACCTCCTCCCTCACTCCCTGGCCTTCCTCCTCCTGCCACATACCTCCACCCAACTCTCCTGTCAACTCCACCTCTCAGTGTCCGGCAGAAAGCAGCTTACAGCTTCCAACATGGAGGAGTCGGGCATCATCAGCGCCATTAAGTTTAACTCGTGTAATGCCCACGGCGCCTCCCCCGAGGCCTCCGACGCCCCCGCGCCAGCACACGCCCCCAGCCAGCCGTCACCGAGCCTCTATCCCACCCCCAGCGGCCGTCAGGCGCTCGGCGTCACCCCCAGCACGAAGCCACGGTCGTGGGCAGTCTCCGCCAGCCAGCAGACGCTCCGTGTCTCCTCCACAGCAGCATCAGAGCCAACACCAGGCGCTGCCCGTCCGCAGGTCGGCGTCACCGCCCCTCCGTCATCACGCCGCCCAGCACCCTAGACGCTCCGTGTCGCCCGTGTCGTTCCAGGGAACACTTGGCCACCCGCTCTCTCCCACAGTCAGGCGAAGACCCAGACACAGGTACAGTCATAATCTTTCTTGTAGCGTGCATGTTCCAATTATCATTACTAGCGTGCATGTTCCAGTTATTATTACTAACGTGTATGTTTCAGTTAACATTACTAGCGTGTATGTTCCAGTATTCATAACATTTGGATCCTGAATTAATCCTGGAGTATCATTATGTGTAAATTCTAAAATAGCCCGAACAATAAATATCCTGACTGTCTCCTTTACAAGCTAGAGTTAACATTAAAGGTAAAACTATAGTAATATAACATGAGGAAAATAGTGTACAACCTTCTGGATAGATTTTCATGTTAATTCATTGAGATACAGATCCTGAGACTTGAAGTTTAGCTAAATAGCTCTCCTTTCATTTTGTTGCCTTCTTTTGTCACTATGAGACAAACTGTAATGTTATCAATTTTATAAAAAGCGGTCAGGAAAAAAAATTCTATATGGTGCAACTCATCCTCCTGTTTAAATAGTACTTTTTTGTAACTATGTTGACCATCGTACATATATTGACGCAATGGACAATTAGTAGATAGTAGAATTTAGTACCATTCACTTTATAGAGTCCGGAAAATTAAAATTAAAATAAAGCTTAAATATTCCTAGGCCTATTATAGTACATATGTGTACTATATTAGGCTTCAGATAGCTTGTATTAGGTCTAGAGTGGTTATGTTAGATTAGTTTTATTTAGCAACATAAATGTAAAACTTTTCCAGTTTGTCAAAGTTCATTAGTATCATATTCTACCTTCTAATTGTTCATTACGTCAATATCCAGCCCATCCTCCTGTTTTGGCAGTACTTATAGAAAGGATGAGGACCATAGAATATATATACCGACGTACAGCGACATTAGAAAGTAGAAATCGGTACCAATGAATTTGGACAAACCAGAAAACGATTGTCTACTTATGTTGCAAAGACAAGCTAACCTAACCTAACCTTCCTAGGCCTAATAAACACTAGCTGGGGCCTAATATAATACATGTGTGTGTTATACTAGGCCAAATTCTACCTTCTAATTATCCATTACGTCAATATCCAGCCCATCCTCCTGGTATATATATATATATATATATATATATATATATATATATATATATATATATATATATATATATATATATATTATATATATGACTGAAAACTCACACCCCAGAAGTGACTCGAACCCATACTCCCAGGAGCAACGCAATTGGTAACTACAGGGCGCCTTAATCCGCTTGACCATCACGGCCGGACAAAAGGAAGTGATAGCCGAAGCTATTTGAACCACTTCCCCGCCGGCAACTCGGATGGTAATCCGAGTATTTTCCTTCCAACGGGGAAGTGGTTCAAATAGCTTCGGCTATCACTTCCTTTTGTCCGGCCGTGATGGTCAAGCGGATTAAGGCGCCCTGTAGTTACCAGTTGCGTTGCTCCTGGGAGTATGGGTTCGAGTCACTTCTGGGGTGTGAGTTTTCAGTCGCATATAGTCCTGGGGACCATTCAGGCTTGTTTGCACATATATATATATATATATATATATATATATATATATATATATATATATATATATATATATATATATATATATATATATATCGTACCTAGTAGCCAGAACTCACTTTTTGGCCTACTATTCAAGGCCCGATTTGCCTAATAAGCCAAGTTTTCCTGAATTAATATATTTTTTCTAATTTTTTTCTTATGAAATGATAAAGCTACCCATTTCATTATGTATGAGGTCAATTTTTTTTATTGTAGTTAAAATTAACGTAGATATATGACCGAACCTAACCAACCCTACCTAACCTAACCTAACCTATCTTTATAGGTTAGGTTTGGTTAGGTAGCCGAAAAAGTTAGGTTAGGTTAGGTTAGGTAGGTTAGGTAGTCGAAAAACAATTAATTCATGAAAACTTGGCTTATTAGGCAAATCGGGCCTTGCATAGTAGGCTGAGAAGTGCGTTCTGGCTACTAGGTACGACATATATATATATATATATATATATATATATATATATATATATATATATATATATATATATATATATTATTAAATATGACCGAAAAAGTAAGATTAATAATTCTAACACGAATTTTCTCAATCTTTCGTACATTTCTTTTCACTGTTGGAGGTAAATCAAAAATCAATTCTCCAAAATTCATTTTTATTTCTAGTCTGACGCGACACGAGCGCGTTTCGTAAAACTTATTACATTTTCAAAGACTTTAGTTTTACAAATACACAACTGAATAGAACTTACGCATCTCCGATTTTATATCTACATTTTAGTGAGGTGGATGGGGTGAGGTGGCATTAATAGGGTATTAATTTCATCAACACAAGACAGAACAAGAGGTGGCATTAATAGGGTATTAATTTCATCAACACAAGACAGAACACGAAACAATGGGTATTGAATAGAAGTGTTTGTAGAAAGCCTATTGGTCCATATTTCTTGATGCTTCTATATTGGAGCGGAGTCTTGAGGTGGGTAGAATATAGTTGTGCATTAATTGGCTGTTGATTGCTGGTGTTGACTTCTTGATGTGTAGTGCCTCGCAAACGTCAAGCCGCCTGCTATCGCTGTATCTATCGAATACAATAGATACAGTTCGAATACGAATACAGTTCGATAGATACAGCGATAGCAGGCGGCTTGACGTTTGCGAGGCACTACACATCAAGAAGTCAACACCAGCAATCAACAGCCAATTAATGCACAACTATATTCTACCCACCTCAAGACTCCGCTCCAATATAGAAGCATCAAGAAATATGGACCAATAGGCTTTCTACAAACACTTCTATTCAATACCCATTGTTTCGTGTTCTGTCTTGTGTTGATGAAATTAATACCCTATTAATGCCACCTCTTGTTCTGTCTTGTGTTGATAAAATTAATACCCTATTAATGCCACCTCACCCCATCCACCTCACTAAAATGTAGATATAAAATCGGAGATGCGTAAGTTCTATTCAGTTGTGTATTTGTAAAACTAAAGTCTTTGAAAATGTAATAAGTTTTACGAAACGCGCTCGTGTCGCGTCAGACTAGAAATAAAAATGAATTTTGGAGAATTGATTTTTGATTTACCTCCAACAGTGAAAAGAAATGTACGAAAGATTGAGAAAATTCGTGTTAGAATTATTAATCTTACTTTTTCGGTCATATTTAATAATATATGTCTACAGGAAAGACTGCTACCAAAATATACTAATATATATATATATATATATATATATATATATATATATATATATATATATATATATATATTTAGAACTTACTTATATATATGAATAGAACTTACTTAACTTACTGAATAGAACTTACTTATATATATATATATATATATATATATATATATATATATATATATATATATATATATATATATATATATATATATATATATATATATATATATATATATATATATATATATATATATATATATATATATATATATATATATATATATATATATATATATATATATAACTCTGCAGTGTACTGTGAGTGACCTCCATGGCACGAGAGGGAAGATGTGCACTACACAGATAACTCAAGTGATAACCTCACATTATTTTGTCCTCCCCCCGCCTCTCTCCCTAGGTCAGCCAGGACCCCAAGCCCTCGCCCGCCGCGCCCCCCTAACTCCACCCCGGAGCCTGGCCCCTCACCATCCCAGCAGCAGCAGTCGCCTCGCCCTCACTACACCAAGATGAGGGGACGATGAGGAAGGGTCCACGCGGTGTCAAGGGGGCGGTGAGTCTAAGAGTCCAGTAAGCCATATTGTGCCAAGATGAGAGAGAACCTTGGTGCACACGGAGCCAAGAGGTGGGGTCATAGGCCACTGCAACGTGTCCATGGCAGGGAACTGGCATGGGTCACGTTGTCATTGATCCATTGTCATGAAAGATTGATTCCAATATCCTAGGGCCTGCAGCCTCCCTGTCCCAGGACATGCCACTCTGGTGGGACTAACAGTAAGTGTGGAGGCAGGTGGAGATGGTATACAGTGAAGCTGTATACCATGTTCCACTTGTGGCTTGGTTTACTATGGTTTACTGTGACTTATTGGGCAAAAAGGAAGATGGAAGAGAGAAGGGTGACCTCGGGTCACAACCAGGGTTCTCCACGTTCCGTACCTGGGGTCACCACGGGGTACCTGGGGTCACCACGGGGTACCTGGGGTCACCACGGGGTACCTGGGGTCACCACGGGGTACCTGGGGTCACCACGGGGTACCTGGGGTCACCACGGGGTACCTGGGGTCACCTCGGGGTACCTGGGGTCACCACGGGGTACCTGGGGTCACCTCGGGGTACCTGGGGTCACCACGGGGTACCTGGGGTCACCACGGGGTACCTGGGGTCACCACGGGGTACCTGGGGTCACCACGGGGATACACTGTCTGGGGTCACCGCCTTGGGTCACCACTTGGGGTCGCCAGTGGGGTCACCACCACGCGGGCATCAATACATATCATTGCGTCATATATCAGAGCCCTTATATCATGCATATATTTTATACTCATGACATCTGACTTGGTGTCAGGTAACGTCAGACACCAACCAATACTTGGTGTCAGGTAACGCCAGACACCAACCAATACTTGGTGTCAGGTAACGCCAGACACCAACCAATACTTGGTGTCAGGTAACGCCAGACACCAACCAATACTTGGTGTCTGGTAACGCCAGACACCAACCAATACTTGGTGTCAGGTAACGTCAGACACCAACCAATACTTGGTGTCAGGTAACGCCAGACACCAACCAATACTTGGTGTCAGGTAACGCCAGACACCAACCAATACTTGGTGTCAGGTAACGCCAGACACCAACCAATACTTGGTGTCAGGTAACGCCAGGCACCAACCAATACTTGGTGTCAGGTAACGCCAGGCACCAACCAATACTTGGTGTCTGGTAACGCCAGACACCAACCAATACTTGGTGTCAGGTAACGCCAGACACCAACCAATACTTGGTGTCTGGTAACGCCAGACACCAACCAATACTTGGTGTCTGGTAACGTCAGACACCAACCAATACTTGGTGTCTGATAACGCCAGACACCAACCAATACTTGGTGTCTGATAACGCCAGACACCAACCAATACTTGGTGTCAGGTAACGCCAGACACCAACCAATACTTGGTGTCTGATAACGCCAGACACCAACCAATACTTGGTGTCAGGTAACGCCAGACACCAACCAATACTTGGTGTCTGGTAACGCCAGACACCAACCAATACTTGGTGTCAGGTAACGCCAGACACCAACCAATACTTGGTGTCTGGTAACGCCAGACACCAACCAATACTTGGTGTCTGATAACGCCAGACACCAACCAATACTTGGTGTCAGGTAACGCCAGACACCAACCAATACTTGGTGTCAGGTAACGTCAGACACCAACCAATACTTGGTGTCAGGTAACGTCAGACACCAACCAATACTTGGTGTTAGGTAACGCCAGACACCAACCAATACTTGGTGTCAGGTAACGCCAGACACCAACCAATACTTGGTGTCTGGTAACGCCAGACACCAACCAATACTTGGTGTCAGGTAACGTCAGACACCAACCAATACTTGGTGTCTGGTAACGCCAGACACCAACCAATACTTGGTGTCAGGTAACGCCAGACACCAACCAATACTTGGTGTCAGGTTACGCCAGACACCAACCAATACTTGGTGTCAGGTAACGCCAGACACCAACCAATACTTGGTGTCAGGTAACGCCAGACACCAACCAATACTTGGTGTCTGGTAACGCCAGACACCAACCAATACTTGGTGTCAGGTAACGCCAGACACCAACCAATACTTGGTGTCTGGTAACGCCAGACACCAACCAATACTTGGTGTCTGGTAACGTCAGACACCAACCAATACTTGGTGTCTGATAACGCCAGACACCAACCAATACTTGGTGTCTGATAACGCCAGACACCAACCAATACTTGGTGTCAGGTAACGCCAGACACCAACCAATACTTGGTGTCTGATAACGCCAGACACCAACCAATACTTGGTGTCAGGTAACGCCAGACACCAACCAATACTTGGTGTCTGGTAACGCCAGACACCAACCAATACTTGGTGTCAGGTAACGCCAGACACCAACCAATACTTGGTGTCTGGTAACGCCAGACACCAACCAATACTTGGTGTCTGATAACGCCAGACACCAACCAATACTTGGTGTCAGGTAACGCCAGACACCAACCAATACTTGGTGTCTGATAACGCCAGACACCAACCAATACTTGGTGTCAGGTAACGCCAGACACCAACCAATACTTGGTGTCTGATAACGCCAGACACCAACCAATACTTGGTGTCATGTAACGCCAGACACCAACCAATACTTGGTGTCTGGTAACGCCAGACACCAACCAATACTTGGTGTCTGGTAACGCCAGACACCAACCAATACTTGGTGTCTGGTAACGCCAGACACCAACCAATACTTGGTGTCAGGTAACGCCAGACACCAACCAATACTTGGTGTCTGATAACGCCAGACACCAACCAATACTTGGTGTCATGTAACGCCAGACACCAACCAATACTTGGTGTCTGGTAACGCCAGACACCAACCAATACTTGGTGTCTGGTAACGCCAGACACCAACCAATACTTGGTGTCAGGTAACGCCAGACACCAACCAATACTTGGTGTCTGGTAACGCCAGACACCAACCAATACTTGGTGTCAGGTAACGCCAGACACCAACCAATACTTGGTGTCAGGTAACGCCAGACACCAACCAATACTTGGTGTCAGGTAACGCCAGACACCAACCAATACTTGGTGTCAGGTAACGCCAGACACCAACCAATACTTGGTGTCTGGTAACGCCAGACACCAACCAATACTTGGTGTCAGGTAACGCCAGACACCAACCAATACTTGGTGTCAGGTAACGCCAGACACCAACCAATACTTGGTGTCAGGTAACGCCAGACACCAACCAATACTTGGTGTCTGGTAACGCCAGACACCAACCAATACTTGGTGTCTGGTAACGCCAGACACCAACCAATACTTGGTGTCTGGTAACGCCAGACACCAACCAATACTTGGTGTCAGGTAACGCCAGACACCAACCAATACTTGGTGTCTGGTAACGCCAGACACCAACCAATACTTGGTGTCTGGTAACGCCAGACACCAACCAATACTTGGTGTCTGATAACGCCAGACACCAACCAATACTTGGTGTCAGGTAACGCCAGACACCAACCAATACTTGGTGTCAGGTAACGCCAGACACCAACCAATACTTGGTGTCTGGTAACGCCAGACACCAACCAATACTTGGTGTCAGGTAACGCCAGACACCAACCAATACTTGGTGTCAGGTAACGCCAGACACCAACCAATACTTGGTGTCTGGTAACGCCAGACACCAATCAATAATAATAAAAAAATAAGCTTATGGTAACTGGCCGGGGTACTTGATATTATATATGAATATATACTGAGTAATATATATACTTGTATAAACTGTATTTACATATTAAAGATCTCAGTAAATCATACTTTTGGTATTGTTTCCCTTGTGATGCTTATTATGCCCCCCTTCACTCTATGGGGGAGGGGGAAGGGGGAAGAGGTGATGGAAAGGGGTAACAAACATAATGGGGCCCAGGAGCTAGATATCGACATTCGTTCAGTTTTGTAAACCATGGCGATAATGAACACATTTGAAGAGCCAAAGCTGGGAGCGTTGGAGAAGATTTTAGGTAATGGTGATTTGTGTACGTTTTGTGAAAATTTTCAGAACATTTTTGGCAAAATTTCTTGGATTGTGTTGACATTCAATCGCCCAATAATGGTAGGCTGGAAAGTAATTCTGCAAGTCCTAAGGCTTGGAGGTCGACTGATGCTCAACACACACACACACACAACACATTATATTCATTTCTGAATAATACTGAAACGTAACCACTGAGGAAATACTTCAGATACGGACCAGTGTTGCATGACTTTACTAGGAGGGGCGAGGCTGTGAGGCGTATCACCTCACAGCTCTCCACCAGGAAGGTGGAGAGCCTCACAGTTGAAGGAAAGTGCCCAAAAACAACCTCTCTTGCTCTTATAAAAACAATCATTGAAATATTTCTCCAAAACATTTACTTTATCTAGTCACCTTTATAGATATGGTTCTTCCCCATATATTACTGTTATTTTGTCCAATACTACAGCCAGCTGCGGTATTATATGTTATTTTGTCCAATACTACAGCCAGCTGTGGCATTATATGTTATTTTGTCCAATACTACAGCCAGCTGTGGCATTATATGTTATTTTGTCCAATACAACAGCCAGCTGTGGCATTATATGTTATTTTGTCCAATACTACAGCCAGCTGTGGCATTATATGTTATTTTGTCCAATACAACAGCCAGCTGTGGCATTATATGTTATTTTGTCCAATACTACAGCCAGCTGTGGCATTATATGTTATTTTGTCCAATACTACAGCCAGCTGTGGCATTATATGTTATTTTGTCCAATACTACAGCCAGCTGTGGCATTATATGTTATTTTGTCCAATACTACAGCCAGCTGTGGCATTATATGTTATTTTGTCCAATACTACAGCCAGCTGTGGCATTATATGTTATTTTGTCTAAGACTGCAGCCAGCTGTTGTATTAGTAAGGTTAAAAGAAACTATGAAGTGCACATGGCAAGAGAGGTATACTTTCTAATCATTTGTAAACATAGTTGATGCCTATTTATTTGCTTAATAATCAACCCCAAGCTCAGTCTTTAAATGCTCTTTGAGAAACAAGAATCGTCTTACGTCTGGCAGGGAAGATACAAAAACAGGCACCTCGCCATGCGTCCCACTACTATAAGGTTGTTTATTTAGCTCAATTTGACCTCTGGTTTTCAATTGAGGAACCCAGGGTCGTAACACAGACAAAGGTAAAAGTTTTTCTTCAAATATACACAAGGATTACGAAAGAACACTGAAATACGGAAAACTGAGACGATTCACTTAACCAATAATGCCGAAAAATGAGTGGCGTTTTAAATATATAATTTGTCTCAGTAATTACTGGAGAAAAACTTAATTTGTTGCAGCTGAACACATCTCTGTAGGTGAGGAAGGAGGCAAGTTTAGTGGTTAACAGAGAGGAAATTATTATTCAAATAGAAAATTAGAAGATAGCAAGTCACCAAGGCCAGAGGAAGTCTCTTCCAGATTGCCAAAATGATATAAAGACTAGCTTAATGAACTTAATTCATGCATGCTTAATAAATCATTAGAGTCAAACAGGGTACTTGAATTGTGAAGTGCGCTGATTTTTAAGGAGATTGTTCACTTACGTTGAACTATCGTCGAATTAGTTTAACATCTATTGTAGGAAAATTGGTTGAATCGATAGTTGCAATAGCCATTCGTCTTCATCATAGTAAAAAACTCACAACATGGTTTTTCCTTGTGTGCTCATATTTAACAAATTTACGCTCATTCCTTCCCAGAATATTTGATGCAGTTGATAGTGGGAAGGATTGCCATATGCTATACCATGAGGTTAGTGAAGCCTCTGATACTTTACCTCATGAGAGACTTATTATAAAGCTGGTGTATGTTGCTGGGAGCTATCATTATAAAGGTAATGTATAGTGATATATCATATCTTGGATTAAGGCTCGATTATTTCAAAGAAGGGAGATAATTAGCGTAACTGGAGTGTCATCCGAGCTTAATAAATGTGAGAAAAAAATGTCGTGAAGTCATAATTAGTAATGACCTTGAGCCAAAAAACAAAAATCAATGCATCATTTTCCGGAATATAGTAAACAGGAAATGGATCTATTTCTTGCAGCTGTTTTACTTGAATTGTGTTTGGTCCCATTAAGATTATGCGGTTCAGGTTTGGTGTTAATAACAAAGAAGGTATTAACTGGAACATGTTCAGAGAAGGTTAACGAAGTTATTCACTAGAATTGAATACTTCCCTTATAAAGAGATTAAAAAAGCCCAATTAACATGTTACAGAAAGATGAAGAGTAATGGGTGACACGTCTGAAGAATATAAATGGACACAAGGGTCAAATAAAGGGGACGTAGATAAGGCTTTTAATATATCAGCACAAAATAGTACTCGAAACAGTGGATATAAATTAGAGAAGTTTAGTTTCAGCAAAGACCTGGGTAAATACTGGAAAAACCTGGGAAAATACTGGAAAGACCTGGGTAAATACTAGTTTGGAAAGAAATTTGTTGATTTATGGAACAAAATTATCCGGTACTTTAACACACGTGGATCGCTAGATTGTTTCAAGCCTATATTAGACATATACACTAGTTTAAAAGTCCTCGACTTTTTATAAAGAGGAATTATCTCGTACAAGTAAATAGATATTCTTAAGTTTCCTTTTATTTTTATTCTTATTATACACTCTACTGCCCAATGCTGTGACCAACACATGCTTCAGTAAAGATGATTCAGCTATAAATAAATTCAGAGTCTGTAGATAAAATAGAGCGAGTTCCGATACACAAATTATGAAAGCCAAGTTTATCACACATTTATCCGGTTTAGAAAAAGTTACCATCGCTAACAGAGCGTAAACTCCAATCCTAACCCAACCTATGCCTAGCCTAACCTAACCCAACCTAACCTACCTTACCTCGAGGTTACCTTGAGGTGCTTCCGGGGCTTAGCGTCCCCGCGGCCCGGTCGTCGACCAGGCCTCCTGGTTGCTGGACTGATCAACCAGGCTGTTAGACGCGGCTGCTCGTAGCCTGACGTATGAGTCACAGCCTGGTTGATCAGGTATCCTATGGAGGTGCTTATCCAGTTCTCTCTTGAACACTGAGGGGTTTACCAGTTATGCCCCTTATGTGTAGTGGAAGCGTGTTGAACAGTCTCGGACCCCTGATGTTGATGGAGTTCTCTCTCAGAGTACCTGTTGCACCTCTGCTCTTCAACGGGGGTATTCTGCACATCCTGCCATGTCTTCTGGTTTCATGTGATGTTATTTCTGTGTGCAGGTTTGGGACCAGCCCCTCAATTATTTTCCACGTGTAAATTATTATGTATCTCTCCCGCCTGCGCTCAAGGGAGTACAGATTTAGGCTCTAGTCGGTCCCAGTAATTTAGATGTTTTACTGAGTGGATTCTAGCAGTAAAGGATCTCTGCACGCTCTCCAGGTCAGCAATTTATCCAGCTTTGAAAGGGGCTATCATTGTGCAGCAGTACTCCACTCTAGAGAGCACTAGCGTTTTGAAAAGTATCATCATCGGTATAGCATCTCTAGTGTGAAAAGTTCTTGTTATCCAACCTGTCATTTTTCTTGCAGTTGTGACGGCTACTTTATTGTGTTCTTTAAAGGTAAGGTCTTCCGACATGAGTACACCCAGGTCCTTTACATTGCCTTTTCGTTCTATGTTATGATTTGCCTGAGTTTTGTACGTGGTTTCCGTTTCTTTATTTTAATTTTTCCGTAGCGCATGAGCTGGAACTTATCCTCGTTGAATACCATATTATTTTCTGTAGCCCATAGAAAGACCTGATCTACATCTGATTGGAGGTTTGCCGTGTCCTCTATGTTGCCAACTCTCATGAAAATCCTAGTGTCATCTGCAAAGGATGATACAGCGCTATAGGTTGTGTTCTGGTCTATGTCCGATATGAGGATGAGAAAAAGTACTGGAGCAAGCACAGTACCCTGGGGGACTGAGCTCTTCACGGTTGATGGGCTGGATTTTATTTTGTTGACTATTACGCATGTTGACCTACGCCTAGCCTAACCTACATTTAACCAAATTTACACCTAACCTAATCAACGCCTAATCAAATATGATATTTTAATCTACAGTAATATTATGTTTTACTTATGTTTGAAAAAAAAACTGCTGAACGCCCAGTATAATGTTAAAATTGAATGTGTTTTCACCCTATGTTGCCTGAGGACAGGTAGCGTCTGTGTGAGCGTTGCCTGAGGACAGGTAGCGTCTGTGTGAGCGTTGCCTGAGGACAGGTGGCGTCTATGTGAGCGTTGCCTGAGGACAGGTGGCGTCTGTGTCAGCGTTGCCTGAGGACAGGTGGCGTCTGTGTGAGCGTTGCCTGAGGACAGGTGGCGTCTGTGTGAGCGTTGCCTGAGGACAGGTGGCGTCTGTGTCAGCGTTGCCTGAGGACAGGTGGCGTCTGTGTGAGCGTTGCCTGAGGACAGGTGGCGTCTGTGTCAGCGTTGCCTGAGGACAGGTGGCGTCTGTGTCAGCGTTGCCTGAGGACAGGTAGCGTCTGTGTCAGCGTTGCCTGAGGACAGGTGGCGTCTGTGTGAGCGTTGCCTGAGGACAGGTGGCGTCTGTGTCAGCGTTGCCTGAGGACAGGTGGCGTCTGTGTCAGCGTTGCCTGAGGACAGGTAGCGTCTGTGTCAGCGTTGCCTGAGGACAGGTAGCGTCTGTGTGAGCGTTGCCTGAGGACAGGTGGTGTCTGTATCAGCGTTGCCTGAGGACAGGTAGCGTCTGTGTCAGCGTTGCCTGAGGACAGGTGGTGTCTGTGTGAGCGTTG